AAGGATCGATGCATTTTTAATTATTTATGGAAAATAATATTTTTTTTACATTTTCGATTTGGGCGTTACAAGTAATTAAGATGATCGTTTTAGGTTGTGTTTTTAAACACAGCAATAATTCCTAACCAAATAAACACAAAAAAACAGAATATAATTTGTTTAATTTTCCAATATTTATTTAAACAAATTAAATGAATTATTTACAAATAAAATGCTATTGGATAGTTAGGACAAAATACAAATCTAAAGTAGTTGCACGAAATGTAAACCCAATTGTTCAATACACAATTCACATCGAACGTGGTATAGCATTATCAAATAAGGCCTTATTTCATCACATGCATTCCTGATTCTGTCTATTAGCATATCTCTTGTGGTTACGGGAGTCTGTTACACTTTTTCTTTTAGAATCCCTACACAAAGAAACTCTAATGGATTTAGGTCAGGGGATCGTGGAGGCCAGGCGACTGGTCCTCCACGGCCGATCCATCTTTCTGGATAATTTTCGTCCAGCCAGTTTCTAACTATTCTCGAATATAATGAGCTGGACAACCATCAAGCTGGAACCAGGCCAATCTTCTTAATCAACATAACATCATCCCACATATTTGCATGTTCAGCCTTTAAAAATTCCAAGAAGGTCGCAGCATTTAACCTTGCAGGCAAAAGGTAGGGCCCAAATAGTCGATACGGTAGATACCAGTCCACACTAAATTCATGCTGAAAATGTCTTTCCCGAACTGCATGCGGATTTTCATGCGACCAAATATGTTGATTATGAAAATTTACCACTCCACGTCTAGTGAAGCATGACTATCGGTCCATAAAACGTTACTTAAAAACTCCCTATTATTATCAGTTCTATCAAGAATCCACTGACAAATGTGATTCTTCGTTCTCCGTCCTCTGGCTGTAGTCCTTGCACAGGTTGCAATGGTAAGGACGTCTATGGTCTTCTAAGAACACGGTAACATGGCTTGCTGAAATTCCCAAGGCACCAAAAACTCTCCTAACACTTGTGGTCGGATCTCTATCAAAACTCACGCAGAATCATACGGGTAAATCTGCGCTGACGAACATTTATGTTTTGATCCCTTTGAAGATTTCCAAAACCATTTTCAATTATTTGGCGATACACTCTTACATCTGAGCGAGTTGGATGTCGTCTCTTTGGAAATTTCGTGCGTATTCTCTGGGCTGCTTCTGCTGCGTTTCCATTTACAAAGCATACACAAAATGAATATCCGCTAACTCTTGATTGGAGAATAAAATGGCATTTTTATAAAACTTACAAAAAAAACAGATAAAACAAACTAAATTTCGTGCATTCACAATTGCAAAAAAACGTTTCAGGTTTCAACAAACAACAAAACTAACTGTCAACTAATTGACGTTTAACCTTCTTCTGCTTTCAATTTCAAAAATATTTGCGGCACAGCCTACTTCTAAAAATTATCGAGGATACTGACTTGTTGACGTTATTTTATTATAAAAATAAAATGCATCGAACCTTAAAATCGAAATAACTCAAAAACGGCTAGCTATAACGAAATTCACAAGAGAGCTTTTTTATGTTGAAAGTGCGGCTACAGTAAAAACTACGCCCATGGTTCGTTTTGTCGTACAAAAAAAACTTGTATACCAATTTTTACTGTTATACAATCAAATATTGTTCGAATATTTAAAAAAAAACTATTTTAGAGAAGTAAATTTAAACACCCTGTATTTCTAAAGCCACGCATTTTGCGACCCTGTTTATATAGACTTTATGCATAATTTTAAAAGTTCTATCGAATCTTAAAGTTATGCAACATAAACTGAAACACCCTGTATTTAGGAATTTCGTAAAGTTGGCATAGATTCTATATATATATATATATATATATATATATATATATATATATAGACTCAAATTTTCCTCAGGTTTTCTCAGGTAGCTGGAGAACTGGGCTATGCAGATACTGTCAGAGACATTAGAGGCTTTGCCATCAAATTCTACACGATGAAGGAATATGGGATCTTGTAGGAAACAACCAACCAGTATTTTTCGTGAAGGACTGTGCCCTTTTCCAAGTTTCATCATGTAGTTAAATGGTTAGTTTTAGATGATAGATAGAATATAATCATTATCTAACAACCAAAACCTTACATCAATACAAATTCTACGATTTTCAGTCATTGCTCCATGGTTATATCAAATCCCCAAACCATCAAAACTGAAACCTACAGATATAAATCTTATTTTCGAAAAAATAGCAATTCAAACCGGCTCGCTCATTTTGCACCATCCTATACAAAGACCAATGCATTCCTGAAAAATCTAATACAGCTTGTCGATGAAATTTTTTTAGGAACCCAGCAACACATTTGAGACCAGACTATGACATGTTCTGGGACATGGTCACTCTAAGAGCCGCGACCACTCATACTACTATGATTTTCTTTGGCGATCGGGGAATCCCAGCAAGCTACAGGAAGATGCATGGATTTGGGACCAATACCTACGCGTTTGTCAACGCCGAGGCAAATTCTTCTATTGCAAGTTTCACCATGTCTGTCAACAACGTAAGAAATGTTTCATTCTGTATGATATTCTAGTGAAAAGAAAACCTTTTATTTGAAAGAACTATAGTATAGTCGAAATCACGAAAGATGACGATTACGTTATCATTTTAGTCTGTAGTAAAGACAAACGACAGCGATTTGTGAATATATTTAAGGAAGTTACTGATATATGTTAGACCACGCCTCTCCAACTCAGGTGCCACCAGTGCAGCGCCGAGCACCGCCCGCATCACAGTCTTGCGGGGTGACTCCGTGAAGGTGGGGGAGGGATTAGTCAGCGGCATACGCATGGCGAGGAAGGTGCTGTGCAGTTGTGCTAACCGTAGCACCCTACGAATAAAAATGACCTGGTGGCATTGAGTATACCTTCATCGCGGATTCGACTAAATTTAGTAATAAATGTAGTACCTGTCATACCAAATTAAAGATACAGCGTGACAAGAGAATTTCACCGTCCTCACCGAATCCAATGAAGCATACAAGGTTTGATGGCAATTTTAGGCTCATTTGGAAATACATGGTATGACAAAACTGATTCCCGCCAGAAGTTTATGTCGTACCGACTGAAAGCTATAGCAGCAATGCAAATAGATAAAAATAATACATCCTGTTGTATGCTTCAAGCTTGCATTTAAGGCCCGTATCGTTAATCGTCCCTACAATTGTAGGGCGCGTTTATGGCCTCCTTGATTGTCATACTCCTTTCTCTCCTTCAAAAATTTCTAGATTATACTTGTCCCGTGTCAGCGTCAGCGCTCTCCTATTGTGAATATATGTTTTCTTTTTAAATTGTAGGACATTTCAGGCTGATAAAATATGATATAACTCAAAAGCAAGCACAATTTGATGCAAATAGATATTTGTGACATAACCTCAAAATAGAGCGCTGACCCGGAAATGTATAAAACTATGACAATCAAGGAGGCTATAAAGGCGTCCTACAATTGTAGGAACGACTGACGATACGGGCCTAAAAGCTCATTTGAGTCTGTCAGTTTGACACCAGGCTTCTAGATGTATGAAAGTAAATGTGAAATGAATAGGAAACGTCATGACCGTTGATATACGTATAGGTTATGGTAAAATCCTACCGTCACGTTGTATCTTCAAATCGATATGACAGGTACGTACTTTCATCGGCATACCTTTTTGTTCATTTACTTAAAAACTACATATTATTACTAAGTTGAGTAGAATCCGCGATAAGGTTTAATTTCGCCGGCTCCCAGCCCCAACGGAAAATGAGTAGAGTGACATTCGTATTGACATTTGAATTGGTCTGTTCCAGACAACGCGCGGGTGATAAAATAATGTTCATAATTTCGACGTAAACATATTTATTCTTAAGATGATCTTTGACAGCGTTTCGATTCAACAATTTTTCTAATATTTGGTACAGTGGCTTGAGCAGTGGAAATTCTGAGTATCGCCTCTAAGGACACATCGGACAAAGACCTGTTTTTAGTTTTGTTCAAATTCATTAAAGAAAACATCTGCTCGGAGCAGTACGTTGTACCGAACATGGAGCAAGTTTCCAAGGCCAGTGCAAGAATTTTGGGAAAATCTTGCTGCTTAACACCTTGATAAACGAAATTAAATTACTATTGTAGTGGTAGTATCTATCCTTAAGGATCGTATCGCATTGAAGCTTAATCAGCCCCATTTGGAACTGCGGCGGTTCTGTTTCGAAAAGCACTGAAGATGGCATCGTAAAAATCTCATCTGCATAAACATCTCAACGTCGTCAATGATTCAAAAAAATCTTTAGCACTTTTGCGCAGCTTAACCAGCGCGTAACACAATAAAAGGGTATGTCACCGTAAGTTGCTACCAGGTCTTTTAAAAATACTTCAAACTGGCGTGGTTGAGACCTTGCGTTCTGCAGAAATTGACACATGTTATTACTACAACCAAAATAGATTTGAAATTACAGACTACTTTTTCAGATAGCTGTTCCTGATGTAATTTGCAGTGTACCGATGATGTCGGAGGTAGCCCAGCGTCGCGTACTTTTATTTGCATTCGCCCAGTAAAACCTTGTGCTTCCGATAACATTGCTGGCGCTCCATCAGTAACAACACTACGCAAACTTTTGAGTAGTATACCCATGTCATTCATTGTGTATTCTACAGCATCAAAAATATCTTCTCCGGCCATTGTATCTTTGAGCGGGATACCGTCTAGTAGTTCGTCGGTGATTGCAAAGACTATTTCGATACCTCTAACGAAAACAGCTCATTATGCTGTGTCAGAAATGTTTTTACTTTCATCGAGTTCTTTTAAATCTGCACGAAGTTCAAGTATCCGACGAGAAATTGTTTGCTCAGACATACCAATTGTCTCAAAGTTGCTTACAGGAGATGCGCACAATATCTCTGCACACTCCACTAAGCATTCTTTGACAAGTGCACCGTGAGTAAACCGTCTCCCACTTTTTGCGATTTTCAAAGCAACAATATAACTTGCATTACGGCACCATTAATAATCAACTACGACCAAATTAATAATTACCTCTTCAGAACTTAGAAGGGCTGCCCTCAATACCGTGTGAAGTAAACATTTTACTTTCCATCAGTATTTACAAAAAATAGGCTTCTTCCATGCAGGATTGAATGACATCGTTTAAAAAACTAAAAAACCTGTACACTTTGTCTTGTCCTATTAAGAAATGGGCCGCGCCCGAGAGACATCGGCTAATATGTTTCTCTCTGTCGCGACGGCTGTGCGGTCGAGGTGGAGGGGGAACGACACCCGTGCCGCTGGGTAACGGTTCAGCACCGGAGCGCACCAGCACCAAGTGCTGGAGTTGGAGAGGCCTGTGTTAAAACAGAGACAAACAGAATTTTATTGTCTAAACAAACTGTATTGCTAATTTGCATGTATCCGACAAAGATATTTTCATGTTTCAGGATCAATCATATTTGAAAGATGAATAGTTAGATTACGTTAAAGCAGGGTATGTTGTTTTCGAATAATACTTCGGTCTTTGGTGTTCTTGTCTCAAGGTATTCTACTCATAGCTGTTTTTTTCAAAACAAAAACTCCCCACTAAAATTATTATTAAGGTATCACTCAAAACCATGAAATAAAATGAAAATAAAAATAATCAGTGCAATAACCTAACTATGCAAAATCATAATATAAATTTGTTGTCATTATGTTACTGACTCGTGATTTTATCATCGACGTACAACCATTGATTATTTCAATACAATTCATTGTATGACGTAATAGTCATCTTTCGTGATTTTGACTATAGCTGAAAAACTCGTGACTTGTGCTATAGTCGAGCACCAAAATGGAAGAGAGTAGTACCCTACTGTTTCGTAATGTCTGTGTGAATAGCTTTGAATACGTAATGAGCTGAAACTTATCTTGTGGTTGTCATAACAAATATTTTTTTTACAAATATGGTGTATCAATAACAATTTTTATTTGAACAACTCTAAATGCAGAATTTTAACCTTAACCGGAAAGTAAAATTTTTTATTTACCCATACAAAATTCTGTATTGGAAATTTGTGAAACATTCAATGATTTGGGCATGTATTTCAATTGTCAGCTCACCTTTAATTACCACATCAGTGAAATTATAATTAGTGCGTATCGCACATAATATCAGAAACTGTAAAACTTTCAATATCATAACGTTTATTTTCGGTGCTTGTTATAAGTAAATTGGAATGCGGTGCAACTATTTGGAGCCCTATCTATGAACTCTACAAACATTTCTGAAATATCTATGCTATGTGAGTGATGGTGTCTATCCTCCAAGAGGACATGATTTATCATTATGATTGAATAGATTTGGCGCTCCTTTTTTGGAAAAGCGCAGAGAGGGTATTGATCATATTTTCATACAAATTACTACATGGTAACATCGAATATCCTGTTTTGCTATCGCAAATTGATTCTTGGTACCTAGTTTGACATCCAAATATGAAGTTTCCTTTTCCTGCAAGAGGTCACAGACAAATTTTCTGTTTAAAGAAGCATTCAATTTCAAATGCAATAATGCGAATGGGGTTGGGAGTTCTGTTGTGGGGTTCAGAAATTAAGAAGTGCGATACGCACCATTCTTTGACTTTTTTACCCATTTCTCTAGACGTTTTCATTTGATATACACATATCTATGTGCGAACATAACTTTATGGCACAGATACTGTCATTTTATATATATAAATCATTTTACCATGCATTGATCTCTAAATGGTATCTGTACTATTACGCAATAAATGTCTTATTACTATTATGACTTTCTGGCCAAATGAAACCACATATGTACGATTTACGTTTTACTGACTGTATTTTGAAAAATTACAGCGTGGTGCCAAAACCTTAGTAAATTCATAGATACGTGGTTTCATCTGACCAGAAAGTCATGGAGTTCTATAAACTATTACGTAAATCTGAAGGTTTATCGATAAAACTCATTAAAAATTGAAATGTTCAACAGCCATAGAAAACTTGACCTCAGAAGAAGCTCAAAGAATCGCCGGGATTGACCCCGACTACCACACTCGTGACCTCTACAACGCTATTGAGAATGGTGACTACCCAGCATGGAATATGTACGTGCAGATCATGACCCCAGAGCAAGCGACTGCAAGTCCCTACGATCCGTTTGATGACACCAAGGTGTGGCTGAGATCAGAATATCCGCTCATTCCTGTAGGAAGATTCGTTCTCAACAAGAATCCGAATAATTACTTCGCCCAGATTGAGCAGATTGGGTTTGATCCAGCTCATCTGGTTCCAGGTAAGTTTAATCATAATCTTTGGCCATTGTTCGAAATACACTGCCTCGCAAAATTAACCGGACAAACAAAATTTTGTTCAAATCAAATTTTAAATAACTTTTTATACTTTGCATCAATTTCGTTCATTTTGGGATATGGACTGGAAAAACGTTCTTTTTACAGACTAGTCCGTTTTACGAGATATTCACCTGATGGTTACCAAAGAGTGTGGAGATGGCGTGGAGAACGCTATGATCAAAGTTGTTTCGCTCCTAGAGTGCAATTTTGTACAGTGTTTGGAAGAACATGTGGTTCCTCATATACTCTTTGTAGAAGAAAATTTTCTCCTAATGCAAGATAACGACTACAGTATATTCAGATAAGAGATAGATCGGACATAAACAAGACCACGTGATCATCGAACGCTGTAACATTCGCCAGGGACGTATTAAGAGTCACGCAGTACATATTTTAGATAGTAGATGCTTCTTTGCGTAACTTTGTAGTAAATTAGCACAATTCGATGTGTATACGATTGGTGATGGATATAGGATCATGTGGGGGTGGGGTAAGAAATATATAATGATGTAAATATACATAAGGGTTTCAAAATTTCCGTTTCGATTTCCAGCTTCGGATGCCGCCTGATGTTTGGTGAAATACAGTCGAATATAATCTCAAAATGGCCTTTAAATTAGCCTAATTTAAAAATAATCGTATATCTCTTAAAATTGCTTTTAGAATATTGATTAGTATATTTTTGATTTCTAGGTAAATATGTAACCAAACGTTCAAAACGTAAAAAAATGTGCATGGCTGAACATTGTCAGAAAGTAGATTCTTGAATAGGTTTTGCCAAAATGGGTTCAAAAATGTCAATAATTAATTAAACAATACAGTAGCTTTATAATTACTTATAACTTACCGAATTTGATGAACAACATCTTTTATTGGAAAGATGAGCTTGATGAGCTTTCATCATCGCTACTGCCTGAAGCACCAACGTCAATAATGAATGGCTCGACTTGTTCCTCTAAAATATTTTCCAGTTCCCACATTCTCTTTTCAACTTTGTCTTTCACGTGCTTAATACAGTTTTCCCATTTTTGCGCTGTTATTAATTCTAGTGCTTCTTTGAAAAGTCCTTTGAGGTCACAAAATTTAAAAGTTGTATTGTGCTTAGCTATATAATTTTTAACCTCTGCCCATATGAGCTCAATGGGATTGAGCTCGCAATGGTATGGAGGTAAACGGAGCACAGTTTTATTTTGACTTGGTGCCATTTCGTCAATGGCGTATTTTTGATATTCCGCCTTGTGATCCTTGACAATTCTTAATAATTGTACTTTCAGCATTGCTTCTTCAAAGTTGATATTTTTCGAGCGGAGCCAATTTTGAACATCAACTTTCCTTGAAGCTGTTGTTGGGACCTTCTCCATTCTTCGAGAATGATAAGGCGCATTATCCAACACAATTACTGCGTTTTCCTCTAAGTTCGGTAAAATGTTTGAAGACCACTGTTCAAACGATTAGCCATTCATTTCCTCGTGGTAATCTCCAGTTTTCTTTGACTCAAAGCACCACAGACCGTCAACAACAAATCCATCCTCACTGCCAATATGGCAGATAATGAGCCTTTTCCCTTTACCTGGAAATCGAAGTACTAACTGGTGTAGATTTATTTCAATAAGCGAACCTTTTTCAAATGTTTTCATCACATTCAGCGAAAAAACATTGAGACATGAGTATCAGATTGCTATAATTGGGATTATTTAGTCATATTGAAAGAAAGAATATTGAACGTCGTATGATTACTCAGCGCTTCACAATTTAATTTAAAGTTATAAACCTCTAAAAATGAATGATCAGGAACCTGAAATATGCGCAAATATTAATATTAACAAATTATAACTTTATAAAGCTTAAAGTATGAATTAAAATGATTAGAAATATTAGGAACGGTACACAATATAAAACGCAGTAACTTTTTTTAAGTTTATAATATTCGACATATTTTAAGATTATATTAAAAAATTATTGAAATATCGAAAACACATAAAAACATGGCTTAAAAAGTTCTAACAAATGAAAATGACAATAAAACATCCACGCATTTTATCGAAAGTTATAAAAGTTTTGTTACTTGTAATATGTTTTATCTGCCCCCTGGAATTAATGTTTAGAACATTGTTCCCAAGGTTTGAAAAACATCCGATTGTTGTCTATTACTCGTATTTACCTGCTGGATTTTTTAATCCGGTGGACAGTCCATCTAGAAAGGCCCTCCTGGATGAAGTTACAGAATCATCAACCCATACTTTACTTGTAGTGTGTCCTGCGTTTACCCATGTTTCATCAAGGTAATAAATCTTCCTGTTTTGATTTCTATATTTCCCAATTTTTGTTAAATAATCCCTCCTCCATAGAACAACTTCTTCTCTATCCAGTAGTAAACTATTACGACCCCGTTTTTTCCATTTGAAATTTAAATGCTTCAGTAACGCATGGAAAGTTGATCGTTTGAAATTTGGCAACGTTGTATCTCCATTTACCTCCTGCAGTACTTTATCTATAGTAGGTATTTCATTCCTAAAGAAGAATTCGTGCACTTTCCTCCTAATCGCATGCTTATCAGCTTCATCCAATGATTTAACAATACTTTTGCGATGTTTACTGGTCATTGGCTCAGAAAAGGTGTGATTTTTTTTTGTATTGTCTTAACACATTAAACACTGATGCGCGACACACCCCAACTTTGTGAGAAACCTTCACAACAATTTCTTTGATGGTTGATGCCTCGTTCTCCTCGCGCTCGATCTTATATATATTCAAAATGACCTCTTTCATTTCTGCACTCAGGTGTCTTTTTTTAGAGCGTTTCCTAGGTGGACTACAGGAGTTTACAACTTCATCGGCAGTATCTGTACTACTGGGCATTTTGCGCAAGCAGTTGATAACAATAACAATCAATAACAAGGTATAACAATAACAACGACAAACTCAACAACTTAATAAGATAACAAACGAAAACGTCCAAAGAAATATCAAATTGCAATGATGCACACGACATACGTAACACGTCTGAACCTGAATGTGACTCTGCCTTGATACGACTGCTCTGCCGCTCGGCATAGGCATTTAATTGCGAATTGACCAATGAGGGCTCCTGTTTCGTCGAGACGGCGGCGTTAGCGTGAAAATCACCCGAACCTTTTGTTTACATCCGGTCTATCTCTTATCTGAATATACTGTAGGCAATACCTCAACGATGTTGGAATTCAAGTACTAGACTACCCGCCAAGGAGTCCGGATCTCACTTCGTTTTTGATAACAATTTCTAATTACCAATGATGTCACTGTAATTTTTTTAGTTGAATTGTTTATGGTTATGATGCTCAGTCAAAGTCTGACAAGTGTTCCTCGAATCGTCAATCACTGCGAGATTTGATGAATGATCACCCGTAGGTTTGAAAGCACGCTGGGCACAACGATATGTGCATAGTTAGACTGAGGGCTTGTGCAGCTTTTTTAGCAGCATTTTCATCTTATTTTTTGTAGGCATTGAGCCGTCTCCGGACAGAATGTTGCAAGGTCGACTTTTTGCATATGGCGACACTCACAGGTACCGATTAGGACCGAACTATTTACAGTTCCCTGTTAATCGACCCTTCAAGGTGACCAATTTCTCTCGTGATGGTGATGCAACGTATCACAGCCAGGGAGGCAGTCCGAATTATCATCCAAACAGCTTTGGGGGACCTGAGGTAATAACATGGTTACCTCACGTACCATATGGTACAAAAATACCACTAAGCTTTTTATTTATACAGGGTGTCCGCAAAGTTGGGGTTTTCCTTTACACGACGTGTAGATCTTGAAAACATAAGCAATTTTTTTAGTACCATATACACCAATGTCTTAAGGGAACCGAGATAAAGGGCTCTGCAACATCAAAAATATCTGAATACCGTCCAGTAGCCGCGACATCCCCGACTGGTACTAGGACACTAGCTCAACCCGACGACAGAACTGGGTCGGGGACAGTGTGTCAGGTCAGTATGCAACCTTCAACCGACGGTTACGGTCACGCGTCTAGAGGTAATCGCGTAGACGAGAATCCCTCAACAAGCACTAGAGACGTGGCTAGAGAAGTGCAAGTATCAAAAACTAAAGTGTGGCAAACGCTGCGTGAAGAGGGGCTGTATCCGTTTCACGTCCAACGTGTACAAGCCCTTCAACCTGACGATTTTCCAGCAAGAGTGCGGTTTTGTGAGTGGTTGTTGCATCAACATGACAATAATCCGGACTTTTTGAAGTGCATATTGGTGACAGACGAGTCTACGTTCACGCGTAATGGGGTGAATAACTTTCGCAACACTCTTGTTTGGTCAGTAGAAAATCCGCACGCTGTCCGTCGGGCACATTTTCAACAAACATTTTCGGTTAATGTTTGGGCTAGCATGGTGAACGGTATGCTCATTGGACCATTTATTCTCCCAAATCGATTGGACGGGATGCAATACCTAGACTTTTTACGCAACATTTTGCCTTCATTGTTTGCCTGCGTCTGCTCGGTAGCGCATCAGCTGATTTCATTTTCTGTTGGAGCGGTATGATTTCGGGCAGAGGACGTACTTAGCCCTTCTCGTCAACTGGAGAGTGAGTACTTTTTCCTTTATTTTTTTTTACTTGGTCGCCCTCGTTTCACTACACATCACCTTTGTTATTTCAAGGGTAGTTGTTTCTGAAAAGGAAAACCCCAACTTTGCGGACACCCTGTACTTACGATATTTGTTTGTAGGGTGAGGGTTTTTCCAAAACCTAGGGAAATAACCAACCTTTGAAAACTTTCTATCAGAAATGCTCTTTATTTAGATAACACCTGGAGAGGATCAGGAATTATCCCAGTAGGGAACGAAAATTGAAATGTTGCACTGTGAAACTTTGAATTTTCAAAAACTCTTGCGTATCTGCAATTTCGACAATAGTCCATTTCTTTGTTAATTGGGTCGCATACATCACGAATTTGATATCAGTCTTTGGCTGAGCAAACCTCATAGTTTTTATTCGAAAAAAGCGTCCTCCGTTCTAATGTAACAACGCTTAGCTGAAATATAAATTTTACCTTGCAAACTAAATATTCCAAATGATTGTTTCAATATAATTGGAGAGAAATTATTATTGTTGGTGAATCACTGTTTATTACATGGTGCATTCCCATCAAAATTAAAGTGTTCAACCATTACACCTGTACCAAAAGTTCAAAATTCTCAGCTGGATACAAACATGCGACCGATTAATGCCTTGCCGATGTCAAGAATCTGTTCGAAGGGATAATATACGAACAAATCATAGAATTCATTGAAGAAACCAAAATTTTGATAAAAAATCAAGCTAGTAGTAGTAGTAGTAGAAAGATTTATTTAGCACATTTGGCTACATAAACAGAATAATTGTAAACAACTTAGAACTAGTAAATTCAAGCCGTATAGTGTATGATGTAAATGCTGCGCAACCTATAATTGTAGATTTAACAAGTGATTTCTCAATTTTACTTTAAATTTTGTCAAAGTTTTCTGGTCTTTTATCTCCGAGTATAATTTATTATATTCAATCAACCCTTGATGGAATACAGATTTGTAGCATATGTTATACTTTTTGGTCATTAAATGGAAGTCATCTTTATTTCTGGTATTATGTAAATGATGGTCGACATTTGATGATGTTAAATTAGTTAGCCTTGATGGAAATATATTATTTTTTACTTTATAAATGAATATCATTACAAGATATTTGATAAAAATTTTTACATTGAGCCATTTTAATTTTCTAAGCATTTGCGTAATTGGAGTATATTTATCTGTATTTAGTATTATTCTCAAGCACCTATTTTGTAAAATTTGCAGTCTTTCAAAATGGAATTATTTGCTAAATATAGGATAGTCGAACATTACAAGAAATTTGGAAGAATGATGGTATTATAGATAATTTCTCTGCTATATGAACTCATACATCCAGAAACTCTCGATAAATATCCCAATTTACTACTAATCTTATTTATAACTTTTTCATCATGAATATCAAAAATTAATCGAGAGTCAACAAAAACCCCCAGGTATTTAAAATTTTCTACGAATTCAATATCTTCACCATCAATATTCAGTTGAACATTTGTACATTGTTTTTTCCGATTTTACTTGCATTTAATTTTAGTCTGTTAGATGCTAACCATTTTGAGACAAGCTTCAAGTCTTCATTTATATAAGAGTTACCAGACTGCATATTTTTAGTATCTACTTATATAAATCATAGTATCATCGGCGAAAATCTGAATTTTGCATTTTTTGACTATGGCAGGTAAATCATTTATGTATAAAATAAAAAGAAGAGGTTCCAGGATACTGCCCTGTGGAACACCCAACGTATTTTCAATTTTTGATGAAATAGTGTCATTAACTTTTGTAACTTGCATCCTTTTAGACAAATAATTTCTAAACCAATCTAAAACACTTCCTGTTATACCATATGCCTTCAATTTACCTAACAAAATATCTCTATCAATCGTTTCAAATGGCCTCTTCAAATCCAAAAATACTGCTATGACAACTTCTTCTGAGTCTATGGCTCATCTCCAACTCTCAAGCTGGATTCAGAAAAAAATGTTCCACAGAAACGGCAATCCAAATGGTCGTGGAAGACTGGACAAGAAGTATAGATGAGAAAGAATATATTGTAACAATGTTTTTAGACTTCAAAATGGCATTTGAGACTATAGATAGGGAAAAATTGTTAATGAAATTGCGTCAATAGGGCTTCAAAGGCTCAGCATTACACATTTCACACAATTATTTAGTAAATAGAAGTCAAAAAACTAAAGTTGGAAATATTATGTCAAGTGTTCAAAATATATCAGTAGGGGTGCCACAGAGGAGTCAATTAGGGCCGTTACTATTTATTATTTATATAAATGATAACTCTGATATTTCAGAACACTGCAAAATTTAAATATCTGCGGACGATACACTTATATATATATCTAGCAATGCTTTAGAACTGTTAAATAGTGATATTGAAAAAATTATGAATTGGTTAAATGTCAATAAACTTAAATTAAACACTAATAAAACAAAATGTATGCCAATAGGCAAACATTTAGATGACAATATAATTAGGCTCATGATTAATGATAAAAAATTGAAATAGTCGAGTCATTTAAATATCTTGGTATATATCTGGATAGTAAGCTATTGTTTCACGAACATTATGAAACATTATTTCAAAAATATCGAAAAAGATAGATTACTTCTAAAGAGTTCCCATAATCTTAGTATATATTCAAAAAAAATGTGTGTAACACTATAATTCTTCCCCATTTTTTATATTGTGCAACCATTTTGTTTACAGCAAACGAAAACATATTTTCAAAATTACAAATTCTACAAAATAAAGCTGTGAGAATCATTTTAAATAAAAACAGATAAGCTAGGATTAAGTCTATGTTAGAAGAACTGCAGTGGTTGGATGTGAAAAATTTCATATATTATTTAGTTCTCGTTTTCATATTCAAATTAAAAAATCATTTATTACCACCACATTTAGAGAAATTCACAAAATTAAATAATCATTATCATAACTACGAAACTAGAGGCAGTATAGATGTTCATCTGCAAAATTATAATAGTAGCATAACTAGTAAATCTATATTTCAAAAGGGAGTATTTGAATAATGATATTACTCAGAGTTAAAAATGTATAAGTTGAAGTTAAATAATCACTTCATGAATAATCAAAATACATAGTGACGTAATTTTAATTTTAATAGACAAGAATGTAAAATTACAGCAGATGGATTGAAGAAAGATATATAACCGAATCATTATACAAAATTGACATTGTAGCATTAATGCTAAATAAATCTTCAACAACAACAAAAAACTTTCAAGTTAGGGGATAACAGTAAATCTGATAATTTGCTTTTAAGTAAACGACTTAGACTGTACAGAATTAACCTGTTTGATTCCATACAGGTGGATAAAAGGTCGCGCAACTTAGCTCCGGTGCTACCCCTCCACGGTGAAGCAAAACGTGTAGACAACGGCAATGATGACAACTTTACTCAACCCAGAATGTTGTATCAACGCGTCATGAAGCCTGATGAAAGAGGCAGATTGATCCAGAATATCGTGAGCTGGCTGAAGCCCACCAGGGTCGACCTGCAGGAACGTGCTATTCAGATGTTCTCGAACGTTGACGCGGATCTTGGTCAGAGGATCAAGGCTGGGTTGAATACCTCGCAATACGTACAGTTGTAAAACAAAGTTTATTGATTGTCATTGATTCAATGAATAAAGAATATGCAAAGTTGAACTTGTTTGTTACATTTGAATCATCATTGAAATATTCATGTTTAAGTCTGCTCTCTACACATTTTTAGCTAAGGACTTTTTACGTACATTTAGCATCTTCCCATAACGAATGACACAGGTTTGTGAGAGAGAACACTCGTTTTGGCTTACAAGAGTTCAGATTACTGAGAATACGTCTCGTCAATTGCAAGCAGCAGCTGGAAGAAAAGGTGGGTTTGAGGTTAGCAGTTCTTTTCGCAATCTAACTTCCTCACGCTTTTTTTTGCTTTAGGACCAAGCATGCAGCCAGAAACTAGGTTGGTATTTTTATATATCTAATTATGGACAAACACACGACGTCACAACATCCATGGCGAAGACGAGATTCGAACTCGCGACCCGGCCCTCACGCTGAACGTATTAAAAGCGATTTAGAGGACGTTAATCAGAGTAATCGGTTACTTAACAGAAAGCATTGGGATTTTTATGTCAGCTGTCGGTAATCAGGCTCTTCTACTGATATGCCAATAGAATCTGTTCCTCTGAGCTTTTCTCTGTAATAAAGAGCAAACGGTTATCGGTAGAGAGAAGCAAAAACTAAACATTTTCATCATCGGACTACGCGTGTTAAGCAAAAAGTTAGTTTTATTTTTAACCGTAAGAGCTAAGAGCATGCTTGAAAGCTTGGAGAGCCTAGATTAATCAACAGCTATACTATCCATCGATAAATTTGTTTAAATAGGTCCATTAATTTCATATCTGTCATTCGGTAATGAAAACAATAACAAAACTCAATCTATGCTCTAATTAAACATCAAAGGTCGACGACAACAGTTATAAATATAGAATTTTAATTTCGCGTAGAGCAAGCTATTAGCAGGCTATTTTTTGTAGTAGCGTTTCTCTACGAGGTATCAGCTAACTTAACTATTTACCAGTCTCGAATTATGCAGAGAAATGTTTCTGAAGTAGGTAAAGACTAGATATCGAGGTACCGCGTCGCCTATGAAGAAGTTAAAACCATTTCATAATTCTGATTTTTGCATAATGTTAGTAAAAATAAAAGAGCAATCAGTAATCGCAATTGTTTGCCAAAAATAGCGCTTTTTAACAATTTACCACCATATACAGGGTGTTCCTTAATGATATGCGAATATTTAAGGGTGTGAATCTGAAAAATTAATGTTAGTTTGCTCTATAAACTATGGTCCAGAAATGTTGGGGGTGTTGAAGTTTTAGGAAAAAGATGGAAATTAATTAATATTTTCAGAACCGCTTCAGATATTTCTTGCCAAATAAAAATTATTTTTGAAATCCCCGTTTAATTTAAAACAAATGATCTCTCTTGAATTGTTTTCCTTCGATGCGCCATTTTTGAATAAAAAAATAAAAACCGTTCTATTGTCCGAGAAAATTAATCTAATAATTGAATAGTTGCTCTAGAATATGTCACTGGCTTTTGACATCTGACAAGTCTCTGTTATTCAAATCTGTTTGCTGTGACATCTTTTTCATTAGTTTTTACAATCTTGTTAATAATGGTAAATTATTCAAATGCAGAAATGGCAGAAATGCATTACGTACGAGCCCCTTCCCACTTCAGTTGGCCCAACTTTTGAAATCTTAGTTTTTTTGTTGTTACAAATATGTATTTTTTACGACTAGAGTGTACTAAAATGTTTTTGAGAAAATAAATCGTTTTAGAGGTAAATAGTTTGTAATCCTTCCTTTCTCCAAAAGTCCAGAAAAGATGGAATGAAATGCAGATTCCAACTTTTCTGCACAATCTCAGAAAGGGGGTTACCATTAGCTTCCGGTAGCTCAGTCGGTGGCATGAAGACATCTACAGGCGTGTAGCTGTGTGTCGACCATGGCATGGCTAGAGGATAGAAGAACAAACAGAACACAAAAATTTAACAGATTTTATTTAACTAGAGAAACATTTTCATTACATTTGAAATTGAAATTTTAAAGAACAAAATAGTTTTAAATCTTTGGCGCTGTTACAAAACTATCCACTTATCTTTCGCTAAGCTGGTCCATTTTGACTGGACTGAAGGGAGGATGGCCAAGGGCTTCAAGTGGAGGTCTCAGAGGGGTGACCTCATATTTAGTGGCTTCAAAACTAGATGTAGGCGAAGGATGCAGTGAAGTTGAACTTAAACGTGATCTTCATCAAGGATGAAACTGTAAGTGATGGCGCAGCCAAGACACATGCATGGGTGAAGGCACGGCAAAGTGATAGGCCAAGCAAGGCAAAGTCAAAGACAAAGGAAGGCAAAGTCAAAGACAAAGGCAAAGGCAAATGCAATGGCAAAGGCAAAGGGGGTAGCCCCAATCATTTTGTCCTATTTGGACACACATTTTACAAAATGCTAGCACATGGTGCTATATGACATCATGCTACAGAGAACAAAATTCTCAGCTCTTGTTAGATCGGCGGCTCAAGTGAAAAGGAAGCGCGAGGAAGATCACAGATCAGGAACTCCGCATCAAGCGCGCTCCAAGCGGAAATGTTTCCAAGTAAAAAAGCTAGAGATGGGATAAGCTAGAGATGGGATTAATGAGTTGCGATTCTGAAATAAAAATCGAGAAGTGATTTAATAAATACAATCGGACGGTGAAACCGTTACAAGTTTCGTCATGTTTAGTTTATAAAGGCATATTTTGGTACAAATCTGTGGGCCAACTGAAGTGGGAAGGGGCTCGTATATGGCCTTGCCGACGGTAATGGTGAGCAAGCCAGACGGATTTGTCACGATCGTGCATGATGGTGCACCAGCGCATTTCAGTGTAGTGGTTCGTGATTATTTACAAACTGTTTATCCAAATCGTTGGATTGGCGGTTATGGGCCCCAAGAATGACCACCAAGGTCCCCAGACCTCAACAGCTTAGATTTCGTTTTGTAGGGCTATCTTAAGACACTAGTGAAATTAAGAGAAAGAATAGTTGCAGCTTGTGATAGAATAAAAAACACTCCAGGGATATTTCAACGAGTGCGCAATTCCATGAGGAGGGCGGAAGTATGCATACTATGTGAAGGGGGCCATTTTCAACAATTTTCATTTCGTTGGCTTTAGTGTTATGTTTGTGTTGTCAGTTGTTGTTGTTCATTACCCCTAATGTGTTTAATTTTTCCAATTAAATTAATAATAATTTTACAAGTTAGACAATAGAACGGTTTTTATTTTTTTACTCAAAAATGGCACATCGAAAGAAACAATTCAAGATAGATCATTTGCTTTAAATTAAACGGGAAATTCAAAAATAATTTTTATTTGGCAAATAACTATTGGCGCACCATTTTTTTCTTAAAAAATGTCGAAGTCAATACCCGTACGCACGCCACTGTTAAAGTTAAAAATTATTTTTGCATTGAGAAATATGCATCTTTATTAACTTTCACTACGTACTAAATATCAGTGAAATATCTGAAGCAAAACTGAAATTATTAATTAATTTCCATTTTTTCCTAAAACTTTAACACCCCGAGTTTTTGTAAGGAAAGATTTTTGGACCATAGTTTATAAAGCAAACTAACATTAATTTTTCATGTCGATTCACACCCTTAAATATTCGCATATCATTAAGGAGCCTGGAGCACCCTGTATATGTAATTCTTAAGCAAAATTGTAAAAACAATATTATTACCAGCTTTTCCACAAAAAAAGGAATTCTCATTACTTCAGTAACTTGATTATGTACATAATCATGCTTTTTTTACTTTCCTAACCATTTTTTTGCTTTTCCACTTTTTGGTGTACTTTGCTTTGGAAATTATGGCGGTTCTCGCTTTATTGTAATAATTTATTACTAGAAATTTAAATTTGTTCTGAATAATATTTCATTATAATTAAGATCTGTGATTTTTATAGTTAAACGTAAGATAATTATAATTTATGCCATTTAAGTCTTACCTTATCTGAATAACAATGTTGTAAAGAAATAAATAAACACGTCTATTATTATTACTATTATTTATGTACTTAAGGCACTTCGCACCTCAGCCTCAAATTTTACCCCGCTCACCATAGGCGCTTATTATGCCCGAAATATATACTAAATTTTCTTTTCAGTCAGCAATAAATTTAATAAAAGAAAAAACGGCGTCAAGTAGGTTCACTCTGCATTTACTACGCAAGGCCGTCATCAGTTCATAAAGGATTAAATTCAGCGCAATTTAAATCCTATGAGAAAAACGGCACTCAAGCACATGTATAACAGAGAAATTATGCGGATCAAGTCAGTCAAACAGGCCTATACAAATAGTCCATTGAGATTATTTCCCTGCCTTACCGGTAGTTACTGTCCATCTGGCAACATTATCCCTTTCCACATTTGCGCGGCAGCGCCCACCGTATCACCGCTACAGCGAGGTATCGTTCATTCCATGTATATGTACGCCGGGCAGTGAATCTTGAAGGCAAATATTCGGGGAAATGTATGATGTGTGAAATATGGCTAATTGGTGCATGTAATTACCGGGGCTGGGAGCGTGTAAATGTACTGACATCAACAAAATTTCATACGTTTCCAAAATATCCACGTGTAGAAAGTGCTACCATCCCTTCTGAAGCACGCATTTGCATTCGGAAAAATGAATTTCCATTTTTCACTACTGGTCAAAATATTCGCTATCCATTTGAAGCACTGTGTAACTGTGATAGTGGATAATAAAAAGTAATCACAAATTGCAATAGTATGTGCCAAATAATATGTTTTCGCTTTAGAATCAAATAGTAGCGATATCAGTTATAGTGCATTGCACTTTCTATTGCAGGTTTGCGGTATTTTTCTGGAACGCCTACCCGAAATCGTCTGGAGACAACGCTGTTTGTTTCTGTGGCATTTCCAGACTATGATTTCCTTTAGATAGTGCATCAACTCATTATAAATTGCACATGAACACGACCTAGGTCATCAGTTCAGTGTTGGCCATCCACAACCGCGCAGATTCTTGTATACAAAATGTCATACCCATCATACAAATCATCGTTGGTACGTGACGCCACGTCCAA